TGTGTGTGTGTGTGTGTGTTTATGCGTGGCTTTTCTTTTGTTTGTGGCTTCTTTGACAAAGCACAATGTTTTTTCCTGTTTTCTTCTCCGTGGTAATGCCCCCTGACCATCGCGCATATTACTTAAGTTTCGGTTGCTTGCTGGTACAACAGCCAATACGGCTGATGCTGCTGCGTCTCTCGCACCGCTGACGCCGTGTGCCCGCCTGCTCGTCCTCTCACACATGCTGGTTCTGCTTTCTTTTGTTGCTGTCCGGTTCTCGCTGAACGGCTAGGGTATTGCGGAATGGTGCGCTGCAAGAGCGCCCGCACAAAGGAGTGCCTTGCGCAGCTCCATGTTGTCGCCGCACCGCTGCAGGACGAGGATGTGCTGGAGTTGGACGTCGCCGCCCTCTGCGAGGAGATCGCCCGAAAAATGCGTCTTCTGGGCGGGCTGGCAGTGGAGGCGCCTGTGGAAGGGCTTCCGCTCGTTGATGTGCGGCGCCGTGGTGCGGCGGTGTACGACGTGGCAGTGCGCCTCGTGCAGGCGTCGCCACTGGCAGTGGCGGCGTTGCGAGCGGCATGTGCTGCCATCGTGGAGGGGCCGTTGATGGCGGTGGGTGGGCGGAAGGGTACGAAGCACCAACAGCAGCAGCAGCAGCAAGCAGAAAGTGCGGCCATCGTGGTGCGGGTCGTTAAGTTGACGACAGCAACGTGATACTGGGGCTCTGCCCACTTCTCTTTCGTCGCCGTTGTTCTCTTTCTCTCTGTGAAGGAGTATGTGTGTGTTATTGTGTCGTTGTGGTGTAGTTGGGCTGAAGTTAAGGGGGCAATCGCCAATACATCTCTCTCTCTTCGCTGTTGTTGTTCGTTTTGGTTGCCATCATCTGTGTGTGCGTGCAAGGTACTGGGCACACTGTTGTTTTAGGGGAGGAAGGGGTCTGGTGCAGGCACGAGGGGAAGGCAGTACGTGCTGCTTTGGGGCATGTCACAATGGTACGAGACGCCAAGTCAGCTCCCACCGTCGTCGCCGTCGTCGCGTGCTATCGGTAGTGCGAACGCCGTGTCTGCCCTTTCGCCCATGGTTCTACTTACTGCGGCAGCGACAGGTGTGGGCGACGGAAGTCAAGCGGGGCAAAGGGCATCGCTGTTGCCAACGTTCTTGACGCCACCGCCATCACCGCTGTCGCCGCTCTCCGTTGGTGTTTTGGGGGGATGCAGAAGTGAACGCAACCGCGGTGATGGGCGCGCGGGTAACACGCAAGACGGAGCGTCGAGTGTCGCCACGCCCTCACTGCTGTTTGAGAATGTGGTAGTGGTGAGCGGACCGAGTCTTGCTTCGGTGAGTCCCTCCCTCGCCCGCGGTCTTGGAGCACAGGGAAACAGCAGCAACAGCAGCTGTTTAACGGGCAACAACCCCGCTGATGAGTTTGTGCAGCAGATGCAGCTGCCCTCATCGTCCTCACCTTGCCTGCTGGCGGCGCCCTTGTCTGTTACCCCGCTCTCCTCTTCGCCGGGGACGACGATACGTGGAGTTGCCGCAAAGGAGGTCGGCTGTGTCGTGCTGAAGGCGGGGTACGCGACGAACTGTGTAATTTGCCTTTGGAGTCTGGAGGATGCGGAGCCGTCAGAAACAGCTCCGCAGTGGTTAGATGCGGAACCAGCGTCCAAGAACAACAGCAGCAGCAGCACATCTCCCGCGACTGAAAGTGTCAAGCTTGGTTGCGGTCACGAGTTTCACGCGGATTGTCTACAGCGCTGGCTGCTCACCAGCCGAGTCTGCCCAATGTGCAGACGGGAAGTCGCACCAGCTGCTGGACGGTGAACTTCTCTTCAGCACGAACAGAAGGAGGATTTGGGGGGCCACCACCTACGCACACAGACATGCATACTACCCTACCCCTACTACTACTACTACTACTACCACCATGCACGGGACTGTGGGACGCGTTGATGCTTTCTGTAGTGATATTGTAGCTTATTGATTGACTTCCTCACATCAAGCACTTCGCGTCGCTGTGCCCTCGGTGGATAAAGGACGTACGCACAACCCCATTTGGCGGCTCTTGCCAAATAAAAAGTTTTCCCGTATATGGGTCTTATTGCTTCCACTCAAGGCAGAGCCGTGTGAAAAGATGTTTCTGTGTCTTGTGGTATTCGCCCCTCAGAAGCAGGCGTTGCCGGGATCTCTCCGTTTCTCATCTCCTCCGACGCATTGCATTTCCCGCGTGCTGCTCTCGTTGTTGCCACTACAGCGCTGAGGGAAGAAAGTAGGAAGTCTGTCACACCGCAATGCGCCGTCAGATGCTCCCTTGGACACGCCTGCCCCACACGTGCATGCTGAGGCGTATGTCAATGCGGGTGGGGGCAGTGGAGCCGCTGGCGACGCACGCTGGCTGTTGCTGCGGCTNTGCATGCTGAGGCGTATGTCAATGCGGGTGGGGGCAGTGGAGCCGCTGGCGACGCACGCTGGCTGTTGCTGCGGCTCCTGCATTACTGTTCCCCGCCGCCGCTACGGAACCGATTCCTTGTTTAATGAATTTGTTGGGCAAGGCCTTGCCGCACCACCACCACCACGACCAGCACTCTCGCCCCCGCCGCCATCGCCAATCGACGAGACAGGGTTGTTCGCATCGCTCGAGGATGATGATGGTCTGGTGCCAGGCCACGAGGCGGTTGCGGCTGTTGCGAGCGAATTCGTTGTCGATGCGCAGGAGCTAGAGGCAGTGGCGGCGCACGAGGCGCACGATGATGCGTGTGAAGTTCTCCTGTTGCCAGAGCAGAGAAGGGGTGAAGGCGAGGAGGACAACAACCGCGACAGCAAGGCTCAGTCGCTTGTGGTGGTGACGCCTGCGTCGGAGACGTGGCTGGCGGCGATGAGCAGCCCGTGCAGCTACTTGTGCCGACAGGATGCCCTGTACTTGGCGGCGCCAACATCGGTGGAGGCCCAGCTTCCAGTTGCAAGCACAACTAATCCGTCTTCGTGTGTAATGGTCGTCTTTGCCGCCAATGATCTGCGCGTGCATGACAACTACACACTGGCTCTGGCAGCGGTGCGGGCGGAGGCGGCGGGGGGGCTGCCGGTCATCGCCGTTGCGGTTGTGGATTACCGCACGTTTGCGCAGCCGAGTGCTGTTGGTGGCTTCTTCCGCCAGAGCCCCATGCGCGCGCGCTTCTTCCTTGAGACCCTGTCGAAGTTGCGTGCGACAGTGGAGGAGGAGCTCCAGGTGCCGCTGCTGATTCGATGCGGGCGGCCGGAGGAGCACATCCCGCGCCTTGCAGTGGAGTGCGGTGCGACGGACGTGTTCCTCACAACGCAGTACGCTCCGCACGAGAAATGCGTGCACGACGCCATCGTGGCGGACATTAAACGCCGCCGGTGGGTGAGCCGTGACGCCGCGACAGGCCTCTCAGTCACCGCACACGACGCGGCTGTGTCACACCCGTACGGCGCGACAAGCATGAGCGGCAGGGGATGCAGCGGCGTGGTGGACTCTGTCCCACACAGCGTGTGGCAGACGACGCTGGTGCACATCGACGACCTGCCAGTGCCGGTGGCCGCGATGGCGGAGGGAGAGCGGTGGTACCACGACGACGTTACCGTCGCGAGCATCCGCCCCACGCAGCCCTACGACCGCTACATTGCACGTCTCGCCGCACTGCCGAAGCGGTACGAGCTTCTCCCGTCCGCAGAGGAGCGGCAGGGGGTGGCGCCACCACCGGCGTACCGCGGCAGCATCCCGACGCTGGAGCAGCTTGGCTACAGCAATCTGGAGGCGTTCACCGTCGAGGAGGTCATCGCGACGCAGTCGTCCCACCCACCCGGTGAACGCGCCGCAGTCGCACGGGTGGAGGAGTGGCTTGCGGATGGGGGCGTAACGTCGATGCTACGTTATGGACGGGATCGGCGCACCAACACAAAGATGTACTCGCAGCGGCTGTCGCGGGTGTCTCCGTACCTTTCCAACGGTTCCTTGTCGCCGCGGCGGTTCTACGAGATCTTACGAGCGCACACCAGCGACAATCTGCGGGACAGTTTTGTGCAGATGCAGTATCGCGAGGCCCTACTTCGACTGAGTCGGCGCGACTACTGGCATTGGATGGGCCTGCGGTACGGGCCGCGGCTCTTCTACTCGTATGGCCCTCGCCCGGAGCAGACCGATGGCGTGCCAGACTGGCGCCACGACAGGAAGATCGTGCAGAAGTGGTGCGCAGGCCTCACAGGCGTGCCGTTCGCTGATGCGGCGATGCGGGAGCTGCTGACGACGGGGTTTGTCGCTCATGAAGGGCGTCAAGCGCTGGCGTGGCTGCTCACGCGCGGCTATGGGCAGGACTGGCGTCTTGGCGCGGAGTGGCTGGAGCGGTGCTCACTTGACTACGACCCGTTCCTCTGCTACGGCAACTTTGCATACTTCAGTGAACTTCTACGCGACGACTTTGGTGAGCCTGTGCGGACCATTCAATGGATCGCACACCACCACGATCAGACGGGCATCTACGTGAAGAAGTGGTTGCCCGTCTTAAGCAAGATTCCTCCCGTCTACATCCACCGCCCGCACGTTCTCACGCCACGGATGCAGGCGATGCACGGCGTGCGACTTGGGCGGAACTACCCGTACCCGCTAAAGCTGTGGGACGGCGCGCAACACACACTCGGTAGCAACGAGCTGACGGCGTACTTCGATAGCGAGAGCGCGTGGCACCGCAAGGCACAAAGCGGTGCGGGCGGCCCCGGCTACGCAGAGGCGCTGCGCCACGGCGCGGGGATCATGAAAGTAGTGGAGTGGAATGCCGCCGTGTCGCCCGAGTACGTTGCGTGCCGGCCGTGGGTGCATCACCTTCCTGTCTCGGCTTTTGCGACTGCCGGCGAAGTTGGAACAGGTGAGGAAGGAGTGCAGCACGTTGTGGCGGTGCCAAAAGGCCAACGGCAGCAGCGGCAGCAGCAGCAGCAGCAGCAGCAGCAGGTTTCTTTGGTGTAGCGAAAGAGGCTCTTGTGTGTTGGCTTTTTTGGTTGTCTTTGCGTGAATGAGGTTGGTCACATGCCTTGGTGAATACTGAACGTCCGGGTGTACGTATGTGTAACTGTTGTTATTACTGTTTTCCATCTTTGCACTGAGGGGTGTCATCACGGGGCACGTAAATCTTTCGCTCTTCCTTCATTTCCTCGGTTTGCATTACAGTGGGAAGACAGGTCTGTTCGGGGCAAGGAGAGCCAAGAAGTACTTGCCTTCTGTATAATAGTAATAAGAACAACAACAACAATAGCAGCAGCAACAGCAATAGCAAAAAAAAAAGCGCAACATATGCCCTACCCATATGTTCTGCAGTGCAGAGATAGTGCCCCAGAAGAGCTGGTTGCTAGGAATGACGTAGGCATCACTGCAGAGGGGGATGTTACAAGAACTCTCTCCCAAAGCTTCAAGTGTGGCACGCATGACATTTTTCTGGCGGCATGCGATGGTGATGTTCCGGCGATGCGGATGTTTCTCAAGATTGGTGTGGACATCAACAGCATGGGGCAGCCGAACCCGCAGTATGGTCCGACGTTCGACCGACGCACACTCTTCCTCGCCCCGCCGCTGTGCTACGCCGCCGGCTACGGGCGGGAAAAGGCCGTCGCCGCGCTGTTGGAGGATGGTGCAGACCCGCTGAAGACATCCTCAACTGGCTTCAAAGCGTGGGACTACGCTAGGCACCGCGGCTACACCGCCATCATGGAGATGCTGGAGGTGGCAGAACAGCAGAAGAGGAAGCAGGACCCCAGCAACTAAGAGAATGTGCAGTGGGGCGTGCAGCGCACACCACCTTGTGGTGTCATGTGCGTTTCCATGTATGTATATTCACGTTCTCTGGATAGTTTCACGCCGTTCCTTTTTTTTTTTTGTGGGGGAGGATTCAACACGATGTTACGTAATACACAAAGAAATGGAGCCCCAGTGTTGTATCTCATTGATACTCCTTCACACATGCATGCCGTTCTGTTCGATATGTCCCGCCTCAAGGGGTGTGGGAGGAGCTGCGGCACGCATTGCCAGCAGCCACCAAACAATTGCAATTGTATTGTCAAAATTGGCTGAGGAAAGCCTGCGGATACCTCTTTATTTTTCTTCTGTCTGGTTGCTGTTTTTATGCCGTACTCTCCTTGAGGCATTTGTCGCCTTGTACTGTGTTTTTGTTTGTTTGTTTGTTTGTTTTCTCTTTTGAATCATTCTTCAGCTCAGGGCCATTACGACTGTTTGACTTTCTCCTTTCCGTCCGCGGAAGTGGCCTTGGAAAGAAATAGGAATAGGGCGGCGACGGGGTGATTGTAGCACCCCTCACAGTGCCGTTAGGAGAGAAAGAGAGAAGATAAAAGAACACCATGGGAGTGGTGTGCACACATTTGGCCAAAACCTCTCCCGGGAGGCGCGATATCAGGAGCGTCTCGCTGACCAACGTGGGGCAAGACCTGAATGATCCCGTGTTGCTCTCGGGAGCGAATGCGTTAAACAAGGAAAACAAACAGAGTGATTCTGACGTGCAGAAGGACACGAGAACGCACAGGAGAGCCGATCTCCTCACCGTGCCGAGCTCGACCTCATCGTCAGGAGCTAATGTCTCTGTTGTGGAACCGCAGCAAGATGTGGAGATGCCCGTGTTGCCTGTAGAAAAAAAGCAACAACAACGGCCTCAGCAGTCCATCACAACGCGTCAGAAAGCGCTTGTGAAGGTGCCGCCCTTGCGTTACCAGGGTAACTCCTCACCGTCTAACATTCCGCGTTCCCTTTTGTCCCCAAATGCGGCGAAAAAGAGGATTCCGATCCACCGCCGCGGTGGGGATTGTAGCACCGACACATCTAATAATGTGGTTGTGTCGCTGCCTGATATTCCTGGCGCCACTAGAAATAGCCAACATGACAACAGGCTGCCTAATATCAACACCAATTGTAGCAATGATGGCGCCATTGAGCCAGGGGTCACTATTCTCATCCATGATGAGCCGCGGTCGAATGGGAAGAGTGGGTGGATCACAGCGACAGAATCCTCCCCGCGTCACGCCATGTTTGCTCCGCCCACCCCCAGCGGCGTGTCCGATGACCCGGCGGTGCTGAGCCTCTCCACTACGTACTCGGGCAGCTTCGCTGTGGACGGCGAGTGTGCCGTCGGCGGCGTGCCGAGAGAGTCCGCGGAACAAGCGGTGTTGGAGCTGGTGCGGCGCACCTTCACGCGGCGCCTGCAGCGCCAGCTGTTGCCGTACGTGCTGCGCGCACTCACTATTCAAACAGTGACCCGTACGGCGCCGCTGCCCGTCATCACGCCAGGGCTTCTGCTCGGCTGCCTCACAGACCTGAAGGGCGAGCGCGCGCCATTCGCGACCACTATCGACCTCTGCACGCTGCGTGACGCGGCGCCGGTGCTTCTGAAGTACCGCCTTGTCACGAAATGCGAAGCAGTGATCGCCGAGGCGCTGTCGGCATCGCAGGGGAAGGTCACAGTGACGAATCCACAGGCGGCGCGGACGGAGGTCGTGGCGTCGCTACTGCGGTCGTCAAGCCGCAGCGATGTCTGCTTCGGCGCCTTCACACCACAAGGCGTCTCGCGGGAAATGCTGATGGGATCTCGCCTCTTCTTCCCAAAGTCGCTGAACAGCTACAGCAAGGGCGGCATCTGCTCGCTCAGCAGCATGCACAGGATCAACAACAGCTGCAGCAATAGTGCGACTGGCAGTTTGGGAAGGTTGTGGACCACACGCGACGATATTGTCGGGGTAGCCTCTTTTGAGGTGATGCCATCCCTCTTCCTAAAGATCAGCCACAGTCGACGCCTGGCGTTGCGTGATGGCACTAGGGGGCATCGTGCGCGTAGGGGCGAGGTGCGGCCGATGTTCAAGCGCGAATTCGTTGCCACACTCACATCAGGCTGCGAGGGGGTTTGCACGTATGCGAGCACGATGCTGCCGGAGTTCCTGGTGGATCTCAAGTCATTCCCAAGTGAGCCTGAACGCGCTGTTGTGTCTGCCGTACGTGCGACGTTGCACCGAATGAATAACACCATTGCCCGGGACATGCTTCACTATAAAGTCATGACGCTCCCCGTCAACCGTGCCTCCATCCGCGCGCCTCCTGTCGACATGGCGGTTGTGTATCTGCGCGAGGAATCCATATACTACGCCTCCACGCCTGGCATGCGGGGCATGATCTTCTTTTTTACGGAGGCCAGGCAGCGACTCTGCGCTGAGCTGGAGGAGTCCGACTCCAGTGCTGCTCAGGGCGACACCCCCTTCTCCAGCCTACGCGAGAAGTGGGACGACTCCACGCTGAGGAGCAGCTTCGGTAGCTCGAAGAGTCCCCCGCAGTGGTCACGGAAGGTGTATGAGCTGCCGGACTTGCGCCACGGTATGTTTGACCTATTGCGGCTACAGGATGATCNTCCCCCGCAGTGGTCACGGAAGGTGTATGAGCTGCCGGACTTGCGCCACGGTATGTTTGACCTATTGCGGCTACAGGATGATATTTCAGCGGTGTTGTCCAGTGAATCGGGCTGTAGTAACCCCCCACAAGGCTGTAGATTGATGGTCGCTCAGAGTTTATTCTGTAATAATTCTTTGTTGTGGGAAGCAGCAGCTGTAAGTAGCGATATCAGTTCGCCGAGGGTGTCGCAGGAACAACAGCAGGAAGAGGAGGTGGAGGAGAAGGATTTTCGTGAAGGCAGGTTACCGCCACCGGAGGAGCTCCCACTGACCAAGGAAGCATTGCCGCATGTGCTAGTCGTTGCAGTGGCGGAGTTCTGGGGCGAAATGTCGTCTGTGGGTGCATGGGAGTTGCTGCGATGGATGCTGCTTCTCGACCGCGATGCCGGCAACACCACAATGCCGCACCAAGAGTGCACAGCAGATGGGGCGGCGGCCTCGGAGAGCAAGGAGGCAACACCGTACCTGGAGGCCCTTCTAGAGAGCACGTGTATCAACCCCGCCACGAAGCAGCGCCTC